AAATGTATACTTTAATCTTTTGCACTCCAGAAGTTTTTTCACCGGAAATATTTAATATTTTCTAATGAGATAACATTTTCACAGATTGTATTAAGAAATCTTACATGCATTGAGGAAGAGAATTATTTTCTTTCAATATTTCGTACATTGATGCATTGTACAAAGTTTAATATTAAATATCAAACTTTACAGTTTTGCTGTGTCAAATCATTTGACTGAGAGGCGCCTCTGGAGTGCAAAGGGTTAAGAGATTTCGTGTATCGTACAGTTTGAATAAATTTTTTCAGTAAAGGGAAGTATCTTGATCGCTTGCCTCATCCCACTAGCAATGGGTACGACAGAAGTTAACACCGAAGCACTCAGTGCTGTGTCACAAGGAATGAATGAGTTTTCATCATCGCTGTTCAAGGTAAAGCGATGCTGCCAGACAGAAAACGATTGATAATAGAAATTGAAAATTACGGAGTAAATGGAAAGAGTACGGAGAAATTATTCTTTCAGGCTATAGTAGACGAGAATCCTGGTAATCTTATATGCAGTCCCCTTAGCGCAGCTGTTGTTCTCGCTATGGCTGCTTATGGTGCCCGTGGCAATACAGAGACGCAGTTTAAAAGTGTTTTACATTTGCCAACTTCAGACGAGCTCGGTACATCCGGTTATCAAGCACTCATTAGCAATCTGAATGTAAATATCAAAATTCTAATCTTAAGTGTTGTTACACTAGTTCATTCCTTTTTAAACAATTGCTATGCTGCATTGTATTCTTCGTACATTTGATTCTAGAATATCAAAAACAACACGCTTCTTCTTGCGAATAAAGCGTTCGTGAATCAGAAGTTCCATTTGAAACCAACTTACAAGGCACTGACGGAAGATTCCTTCCGATCTACCACCGAATTAGTTAATTTCGGCCAATCCGCAGAGGCTGCGAACAAGATCAACTCATGGGTTAAAGAGAACACTAAAGACCGTATCGATGGAATCGTATCGTCTAGTTAGTATTAATGAAATGTCTCGAGTATGCTCGGATTTAGCGAGTTACCTAGGTCGCATTCAATACAAATCCTCCTTTTTAACAGGCGACTTGACCGACGACACGGCATTAGTGCTAGTTAACGCGATATACTTTAAGGGCAAGTGGAAGAACAAGTTTGACCCTATGCTGACCAAGGAAATGCCGTTCCATGTTAATGGGAAAACGGTGAAGCAAGTACCGACTATGTATAAGCAAAACAATTACAAGTACGGTGTACTCTCGCAAATGAACGCGAAATTCATTGAAATACCGTACCAGGTAATCTCTGAGATTAATGAACAAATTAATTGGGGAATATGGACGCGAAAGGAACTGTCGAATGAATATTATAGGGAGACGGGATGAGCATGGTGATCGTTCTGCCGGATGAAATTAACGGTTTGGCTGAGGTCGAGAGAAAGATGAAAGACGTGAACCTTAATGATATTCTGAGGCAAGGATACGACCGCGATGTGCAATTGTTTTTTCCGAAGTTTAAGATCGAGAGTAAAATAGATCTGAACTCTCCTTTGCAGCAAGTGAGTACTCCATGTAAACACGGATAATGCTTTTATGCTCATGATTTCTCTCCTGTGTAGTTGGGTTTGACCGACGCGTTTACCAGCAGTGCTAACTTCTCTGGCATTGCTGATTCCCCGATAGCTATTAGCAAAGTTATACAAAAAGCATTTATCGAAGTGAACGAAGAAGGCAGTGAAGCGGCAGCTGCTACCGGTGAGTAACCGAAATACGCTTTTCTAGAATCGGTTGAAATTAAGCAAAATTTCTGTTTCGAATCTGTAATATAAAATAGTGCAGCGAGAATTGGCAGAGCATTATTGATTAATGTTTAAAATAATATTTTGTTTAATTTCATTTGTTGCTCTATCGATAATCTTGCTTTTTCAAGGTTCAAAGATATTGATAAGTTGCTTGGCATCTGAATGATGTCAGTTTACGCGTAACTTATGTAGTTTTGTTTGTATATGTATATGCTTATGTAAACTCAAGTCTTTTACATATTAAGATAAATTTTACGGTGTACATATATGCGGTTTTTAATTTGCATAAGTCTCGTGTATATTTGATTTATTCATTATGTAACATGTCATGACCGTTTGTCTTTGGTTTATCGCTTTATGTTTTGCAGCATACTAATCAATCATTGCAATCAATTCTAATACCTACGCCTCTTAATACATACTATATTTGTCCACTTTTATTTAAAATTGTCGCGTTCGGAAATCTTCTTGTCTATCACGACTAAAGTATACACAACAGCAGTATTTAAACCATAAAGTATTATGCAGATTTTTATAATTAATCTCATCCTTTTGAACTAATAACAATGTACAATTTTATTGGTAGCAGTGTTATCGACAACCATATCTTCAATTATACCGAAGAATGACAACGTTATTCTCTCCAGTGGGAAACCATTGATCCTAACATAAACGAGTGATATCTTTCGTACACAGTACAGACTATATATATTGATGCAAACCCGATAATCGAGATAGAGAACCCCATAAAATTCACCTTTCAGCTCTTCTTCTATAGTTGCGCAATTTGCGAGTCTCTGATTGAATTTATTGGAACTCGAACAAAGTGACATGTATACGTAATGGGATATATTATTTATTCATTCTATGCTCACGATTCTGAGTAGTAATTCAGTGTTAATTACTTGTGGCAGGTGTCGGTGTTTGGCCTCTTTCGAGCTCTTGGTCACCGCTGAAGCCTGTCGAGTTCCGCATCAATCGTCCATTCCTGTTGATCGTTAAATGCCGTGGTGTTCCGTTGTTTTTAGCAAAACTCTCGCACAGCGCCAACTGAGTCTACCGAATCTCAATCCTGTGTTTCTACTTATCGTGTCAGAGTTCACAGTACAGCTCATATACGCTCTCTTGCCAATCTATACACCATCGCCTTTAATGTTAATTGTTCGACTGGCTCGACAGACTCGAAGAAATTTATACAATTTTACGACTGCATTGTTCTCTGATACTCCATTCTTTTCGCTTCATTCGGCGCCTGTTCCGGAACAGAATACACTAGTTCCCTACTACAAAATTGATATTGAGACTTGATATTAATTTCAGTTCACATTAAAATACATGCAGAACATGCGATATTCGACGATAAGGAAGTTCGGCCTGCAAAAAGCTTTTCACGCGCGTTACTTCCATCGATAAACGAATTCTATGTAATTTTCAACAGATGTATAATAAATATCGTCTATACAATTTTTCCAACTACGTTCTAGTACACTTGAGACTTCTTTCTAAGTATAAGTCTTACCAGAGAAACGCGTGAGATACACTAAGCTTGACACTCTTCTTCGATGGAACGAAGAAACGTGTACAGTAAAATATAGATTATTTACATAGTTCCACCATAGGTAGTCTGCCTTTTAATTTACAGCTTCTCGATGTTCTTCATTGTCATTTCGAATCCCCTGGCTCGCGTTTCACTCTCTACGCTTTCGTTTAATTTCCTGTAACGTGCTTTTCATAATCGCTTTGTTTTTCACGGAGTTTAAGTCCTAGTGAAACTGATGTTGCAAGTGAGGATGAAATTAGCTTCCTCCAATTAACCGGTTTCCAACTGCGAGTGACAACATCGACGAATCGATGCTCTAAAAAGAAGACAAGAACGATTCGCTCATTGATGAACACGTTTACTATTTATTTCTAGGCCATCATGTGCACTGGCATGCTCCAGCTCCTCCGACAATCCCTGAAACGTTCAGAGTCGACAGACCATTTTACCTCGCAATTAAGCACACCGACGCACCTCTGATTTTCACGGGAGCGATACTAGACCCAAACAATTCAGCGAATTCGATTTGAATCAACATTCAACGTGTCAACATTCTGGAAATAAATTGATCCGTTGAGAGCAACACGTTTTGCGGAATTATCAGTCTTCAGCTAGCTACCATCAGTGGTGTCACATGTGTATTTGTCTGTCGAAGAACTCGCCATTCTCATCTGGTCTATCTTCCAATGGGTCGCACCTCCAGGAGACATTAAAGCAATGATCTAACGACTCATTCCCATGATTAACAGTGGCGGTCACGTGTGTCCGTGTACAGCTTCCTCTCGCATTCTCTTTATTTCTCTTTCCGAGTACACACGATCGTTCTCATTCCTCGTGCTGTACATCGTTGCATGTAGTCTCGAACGATAAGTCAGAAGAAATCCGCTGGAGATGTTAGCAGGGTGAAATTTGTTCCAGGAATACTATTCGTGGAACGATGTATGGAATCCACGCCGGTACTAACGGTCGACCGTCCGTTTTACTATAGTATCGTCCACAAAATTCAGAACTCGGAGGACACGAAAGTTGTCCCGCTCTTTGCCGGACGTATCGTTGATTTGTAAACAATCTCAAGGTCAACAGATTGTAGCATTAATCCCTTGCCCCATGGTTTCTCGTAGGACTCGATGCAGCGGCTTCACCGTTAACAGCTTATCAGCGAATTCAGAGAATTCGAAGATTCCCTAAGGTTAACGATTGAAAAGTACCAAACTAATTTAGATTTGATTTCAAGAATCTGAATTTAGGTTTGAAGAATCTGAAAAGGTAGAACTAAACGGAAATGCATAGCATTCGAAGAGATCCAAAGTTCACGTGAGACACGTCTGTGAGATTTTATCTCGAATTTTCGCCACGTCTGCGATATTAGAGGGCAAGGGGTTAACCTCGAGTCTAGTCTGCAGTGGCCAAAGGTTCTCACGGCGAGGAACAAACAGAATTTACTCCAATTATACCTGACGATCGAATAAACAATTGTACCACGCATTCCGTGTACGTGACTGTTTCTACTGCGCCACCCTTCTTTTTCCAACAGATATCTTTCTCTTGGCCGAGGACAGCTTCCCTTAGGAGGGGAACAGATTCTTCGAACGAATCATTTACTCAATATTAACATTGAATATAATATGAACTAACCAACGTACAGAAAGGAAATTTGGAAGGGTCGCAGAGAAAGAGAGGACGGTTTCGCACGAAGCGTCGTCTATTCCCATGACTCTACAAATCATTTCGCTTCGCTATGTTCGTTGGACGCTATGTTCGCTATGTTCGTTCGTAGTTAGTCTTGACATTCGAAATGATCTGTTCCAGCAGTTGTCGAAGTGGCGGTGTTTTCGTTTATCCAGGAAGAACTCCCAGAAGAATTCATCGTCGACCGTCCGTTTTTCTATGCCATTGTCAAAACGTTCGACGACCGCAAGATTCTACCGATATTCAGTGGAAGAATAATGCAACCCGATTTGTAACTAACGGATTACCAATTCTATGCGATCGGGACGAGTATACGGCAGCTTTCGATTCGTCTTCGACAGAATAAAGGACCTCTGTGACACCTGTCTGCGCGTGTTGCTCGACTAAACCATTGCCCGAGGTCCAGTTTAATTATGATTAATCAACTGATCTGTTACGCTCGAATGTTGGCAACCCGCCTCGCTCTTCGCTAATCACCTCTATTCTCTCTCCTCTCGAGCAGGAACGTTTCCGACTAATCCTTCCGTTGCCTGATCAGCGCCAGTGTTCTAAACCTTCAAAGACGAAATGATAAATAAATTTGTTGTTCATCTTGTAACGCAATGTGTATGCAATTTAAGGTTAAGATTAAGTTATGCGCTGTGCGAGGTCCTCGAACGAGGACCAAGGGGACGGGTGGCGGGACAGGTGATTTTCTAGAATGATTTGTTACAGGTGTCATCATGATGAAACTGTCTTTGGTGTACCCCGACGATTTCACCGTAGACCGACCGTTCTATTATAACATTATACGAAAGATAAACGACGGGGAACTCGTGTCACTATTCAGCGGTTACGTAACCGAACCGAAAATCTGAGCACAGTAATGCACATTCTTTTTAACAACTAACAAAGAAACGTCGTCGCTTCCGAGTCGAGCGCCCGGTAAACAAATTGGCTGACGGTGGTATCATTCGATCGTTAATGCCCGTCATTTAAATCGGCCATTTAACACCTTGGTTCTCACGTTCAGGCGTCATGGGTAATATTCTTTCTGTCGCGTTCGTTCTCTTTCCATTTCTTTTTTTGCCTCAGCATGCTAAATGATATTCTCGTCTGCACCTTTACCGAGAAGTGATCCTTAACGTTTGAACAAAGAAAAGTTATACGTGGAAATATTTAGAAAAATCGAATACCCCGAGTATCGAGATTATTAATGCATTTTAATTTGTTTCAACAGCGATCTTAATATTTACAACCTCGTTGAACGTGGCTAAGATTCCTATTGTAATGCAAGTCGACCGACCCTTTGTCTACGCCATTGTACAGCAGAGTCCTCAAGAGAGAAGCGCTAGTACGATCTTGTTCAGCGGATGCGTTACCGATCCTTCGGCTTAATTTATTATATGCGACTACCTGGAAGCTAACCTGACGTTTCTAATTGTCGAATAAGGGGCAGTTGATGATTGTTTTTGTTTGTGCATAATAAAATCGTTTACGAGTTGTGAATACCCGTGCGTTACCATACAGTTTTGTATTTTCCTTTGAGGACGATTGCCTTTGCAATGATCTAGTTATTTAACACGTTTGAATGCCGCACGATTTCATGGTACAGAATACTTGAAGTGGAAAAGATATAATATTAAATCATTTGATTGAATTGCATTGTTACTATTGCAGGTTCATCTAGCTGAATGTCACCACGTTAGTAAGCATTATTTATAATATAGAGATGTTTTCAAATAATCATGGTTTAATCAAGTGAACTATAGTAATTCGATTTGGTTGGAGGTCACCGGTGACCCCCATGGCATTCAACGTGTTAAATAATAGATTGTATAGTTCTCTTTTTTCTGAAGTTCAATGTAACATTTAATTTGCTGCAATCGCGACTTTGGATAGTTTTGAAACACCTTCGTCCTCGAAGGCTCGATTTTCCTTCCTGTTGGCCAATCCTGATTGCAGAGTACTTTGAGTGAAATGAAATCAGCAAAAATTCTCAATTAAGTGTCAAGGTGAGTATCGTTTAATCGTGTTCATTGTAGATTTATTTATTTCCTTCATAACAGAGTTCACAATGATTAGACGTACGAACACTTAATCCTTGCGTAAACTATGCGCGCAAGCAACATCGATACAATTCAACGGAACGGTAATTAATATTCGTAACATTCGTTCCTATTAAACTTCTAAACGTATAGACTCCATATGCATTTGTGAATCATTCGAAAAATAAACAGTTGGTTAATATAAAAAATGCTCAACAACGAATTTCCGTTACTAAATCTCCTTAAGAATCACTACGAAACATAACTGATTGCACGCTGATGCATTTAACGCCAACATGAACTCGCGTTGAGTAAAATCAAATCCGCTTTGTATTATAATTTGAACGTGAAAACATATAACCTTGCTGAAGGCAGATTAATCATAACCATAGACGCTCGTAACATTAACAATCAGTCGTGGACGTTTAAAATTAAATTTCGATACACGTAATTCTTATAATCCCTATAATAGTCATAAAATATAAAATTGATGTAACAGCCTGCCAGTTACCTGGCAGATACATGCTTGGAAGTATTCATCGATTACGACTAACTGATTACGCAATTATCTTTCGAGAATTTGATAGAATGCGTAGTTTCCGTCGAAGTGGTACCAGTCGACGTCAGAGATCCCCGTCGCGGCACAATGGTGGCCATAGAGGCGGTGGTGTCCAAAAACTCCTCATCGTTATCAGAATCGGTGTCTTTGTCTTTGCCATCTTTCAGCTGCCTCTTTGGCATGATATCATTCATGTATTTCTCGATCATTTGCCTGTTCTGAACGGTAACGCCGTTACCACCGTTGCCACCAGTTACATACGGCAAGCTGTCGTTCTTGTCCTGCTGATCTATGGCCATCCTCTCGACGTACATGCGTTGCAGCTCGGCCAGCGCTTCGTCCATGAAACGCACAGTCTGTTGCTTGCGGTCCGGCAGCACGTTGTTGTTGAACCCAACGGGTCTGCAGATCTCGACATTGGCCTCTTTCACTTTTGGTACTTCACTATCCATCATCGTGGTCGTGAAGCCCATAGGGAAGTTAGCCTTTTTGCTCGCGTTATTGTAAGGTGGCCCGTAGACAGCCTTCTGCTCGTTCGTCGGATCCCCGTACTTGTTCAGCAGCCAGTCTTTCACGTGACTCTTCTCGCCTTTCGCGTACTGCTCCCTCGGCAGGGGTTGCGCAGTGAACGCCTCGCTGTAACCGAGCGGGCAGACGTTCTGCCTGTCCACGTTCACCTGGACCGGCTGCACGCGAGGCTGCTGCTCGCTTTGCTTGGCCAGATCCTTCCACCTGCCGGTGTTCATCACGAGCTGCGCCAACTGTTGAATCGTCTGCTTTGGCACCGACACGGACGCTCTCTCGCCGTTGCCGGACGTGGGACAGAACTTCGCCGGAGTGGACGTGTCGCAGGGCTCGCCGGCCGTGCACACCGGCCTAGCGTTCAGCTGACGAAAACGGTCGTAGCTCTCGCCTTGGCCAGCCAACAGGTCGTCTTCGACGTTCCTCGTGTTCCCTTGGTTCGCGTGATGATTCAGTTCCTCGGAGGTGCGACATTCGTTCTCCAAGAACGCGGCGGTCAGTATCATCGCCGCGGTGGGTTCTCGCTGAGTAAACAGTCTCCTGCGAGCGTGCAGCGACTGGCTCATGGTTTTCTCGAGACGAGCGTTCTCTATCTTCTCCTCCAGCTGTCTCTCCGTTTCCAGAAACTTGGCCGTTTCGAGCTTCAGCGTTTCCGTGTCCATCTTGAATTTGTCCACCTCCTTGGCTATGCGCCTCTCCGCGGAGGACTGAGTCCGAGTCTCTGTGGTTGGGACCGTTTGGAAACCCAAGCGCTGCTGAGCCTTTACAAACGGTGACTGTGACACCGGTCCCAGTTTCGACCATATGGTCCCAGGCTTCTTCACTGGACTGGTTATGGGCGAGACGATCCCCGGCCTCGTCGACACGGGATTCTGATTGATTAATTCAACGTTAGAGCTTGCCATGGTACAAGGAACTCGGCAAGGTTTCGGAGGAACCAGATCCAATTTAGGAGGCGGCATGCCAGGTCTGGGCGGAGGCACCAAAGACGTTATTATCGGTTCGGGTGGCGGTGGAGGTATCTCAACGTCCAGTTCTGAACACTGCTTTGCAAGTACGTTGCTGTGCACTACTTTCAGTAGATCGTCCAATCGATTCTCCAGTCTGCTATGGCGATCTCTGTCTATGTCCAAGAACTTCGTTAACATGTCATTTTGTGCGGAGAGGATCTGAAATGCGTGGAAAAGGAGACAATGAATGATGTGAATCGTAATGTGAACGCTTTTGTTCTTTAGTGCAACTGCAGCTTACCCTGTTGACAACTTCGTTTTGAGAACTGATGGCAGTTAGAACCAGCTGTTCCAATTTCTGTGCTTTCTTCTTCCTGAAAGGCACGTTCGGAATATCATCTGTGTTAACTGCGGTGTCCTTTGATTTGTTCTCGCTTCCTGCTTGACTCAGAGAATCCATCAGAAAGTCTAACAACATACTGTCATCGTTGCAAGTTGCATTGTTTGTTAGTACAGTGACATCCTGGTTCGGTAACGGATTGGCTGCCTGCGCAGCTTGGTTGTAAGTTTCATTCAAGTTGTGCGCTTTGTCGTCACCTTTCGACTGGCAAAAGGCATCATTCAAGTTTTGAGTCACATCTGGAGAATAATCTGGAGACAGACAGCTGGCTCTCTTCGTATCTATTACGGCAGGCATGTGAATCAACGTATTGCCATACTGTTGTTTATAAGTAGCTGCCAGATTCTGGCCAAACACAATTTTTCTAGGCTCTTGCGGCATTGCACGATTATTCACTTGTTGCAAGTGATTCTGTTGTTGTAGTAGCTGCTCAAAATTAGTATTCTGCGGCATTGTTGGGCTTATTTTCATTGGAACATTTACAGGCTGAGACACTAGATTCTGATTTACATTGTACTGACTCTGCTGGAACCCTAAATTATTCATCATCATATTCTGTTGGTTACTCATGCAATTCTGTTGCAAATTTTGATGCTGTTGCATGTTCTCTTGAATTATTTGATTCCTCACATTCTGCACTGAATTTTGATACGGCACCTCTCCGTAGGGATAAACGTGCAATAAATTTTGTTTGTAATTGGCATGCACTGGTTCCTCCATTGCAACAGAATTGCACTGTGTAGCCTTCCCAGCAATCTGTACCAACTGTTCCCCTGTATTAATAGCTACATCCCTTGTAGGTGAAAACACTCTATAAGGTCTAGCTATGATAGTCTCGTTAGACTCAGGAGAATCGGGATACTCGTTTTCACCTAAAACATATCAATAACTGTATCAAATTCTAATATTCTAAAATACCATTAAACAAATCAAAATGTAACTCTTACGGCTGAATCCCCATGTAGGAGACAACGCGTCAGAACGATGAAGCGACTGTACAGGCTCCTGAAACTTGTGTCTCATTTGTAAATTTTTACTTGTCTTAACTTCTTTCGGAGGAGACTTAACGTTTATCGCAGCATCTATGGGAATGTTAAAAAATAAATCTGATTTATTAGAATAAAAAACACAGGATACCAAAAACAAATAACACCACAACGATTGTTGATTCGTGTACAGACAGACTGACCTACAGTATCGATGCCATTCAGGTTACTTTCTTCCAGACGTTTGATCTTAAGAACTCTATCGATCGACTCGTAATACTGCTCGACCCCTGCTTTTGTACCAGCTCTTTTGGCCTCGCGATAACACACCAGAACCTGTTTCATGCGCGATCGGCACTGTTTCCCAGAAACATTGTATCCTTTCTTCTTCATGTACCGCGCGACGCTTTCCCATATCAGTTGCGGTTTCGTCGTGTACTCGAGCTGCTTTTGGACTTGCCTATCCGACCATACCGACACTAACAACGCAGTACTCTCGGGGGTCCATTTGTACTTCACAGCGTCTCCAGAGTCACTCATCTCTCGGAGAAAATTAGCTTCCAAGCCTCTTGGAACGACTCTAAAAGCTAATATCCAACGGTCGCAACGATAATTACGATTTATTTTAATATTCTATTCAACAATACCACTTACCGAGACATCGTCGTCGACGCGAACGCCTGTTGATCGCGTAACAGGTTGACGCCAAACTTTACAGGCACGCCGCATACGTTCGGGTAACCGTCACCAACGCACAATTCAAATTTCATTGTGCAACAGGTAGTCGGAAGAAGACTACGCGTAGGCGGCGCCGAGTGCTGGATAATTAATGCAACTGGCAAATCACTTTGTAAATAAAAACACAAATTACGAGTATGTGTATACAAGAAATGTAATATTGAGGTAAACAAATAAAATGGAACAGGTCTTTTATTTATATGTATTTAATTTATTCATAGACCCATAGTAAAATCGTTACATCCGTACAGAAGAGTTAATAAATAATTAAGGTGCAAAATGGTATCGATGGTAATGTGATGGAGCGACTGAAAAGATTATATAAAATTTTTATAAATTTCATTCTTTAAATGAGTGAGACAAGGACTGCGCATGTGTGCGACAAGGATGGAAAAGAACTGGTGCGAGCGATAGTGGCGCCATCTAGCGAACGAACGTTTTCGAAGCTTTTTCCTATACCTGCAATATGTAAGACAAGAACAGCGCTACTGTGCGACAAGGACAGAGATAGTCTCACTCGTGCCACCATCTTGAAAAAAGCATCTCATCAGTCCCTGGTGCGTACTCGTAAACCATCAGGACCGAGGAGGTCTCCAGGAGGAAAATAAAGTGGCGCCATCTAGCGGAGGAAGCCAGGAACTAAAATGCGTCACGTTGATTGGGAGAAAACAACAGCGAGTTCATTAATAGCTCGAATCTCAAGAATCATTCGTTAACATTTGCGATTTGGAATCATAGAATGGGCCCTCCCCGACTTTCTCATGTCGCTTTGGATAGGATTTCACGCCGCGTTAATTATTTATTCATTATTTTCCGGGACCATGTCACAGGGTAACTTTCAATTTTTTTGACAGTTGCCCAGTAAACAATGAAGTTTCTACCTTAATAGACATAAATTGTGAACATTTAAGATTGGAGAAATTAGGGTACACCCTTAAGAACACTCAGTGATAGTTTGAATTACATTCAGACAGTAATTAATAAGTTATAAGCGATTTTCCGAAGCGTCGACTGTGTTCCGTGAGAACGTAACGACTAAGCCAAGTATGAATATTCACTTGATAGTGATTTTCAATCTGCTGTTATACCGACTTGCAATTATCAATAGTGGTATCGTTGCCCTTGTTCCATAAGCTTTAATTTGAGCCGTCGAACATCTGAATCGGTCCACGGAAAGCTATAGAATAATAAATCTATAGAAGCTACAGAATTAATGTAAAGGTAAGGGCAGATTATCGCATGTGTAAAGACAGTTGCAGCTTGGCAGGGGCACACTGTGCTTGTGGGCGAATTAATCGCTAATAACTTATTAATTACTGCACCAATCTGGTTCAAACTACTACTAAATGTTCTTAAGAGTCTACCCTAATTTCCTCGATCACAAATGTTCACAATTTGTTCCTATTAAGTGAGAAATTAATTGTTTACTGGGCACCTGTCAAAAAATTCTGGGTTACCTTGTGACATCGTCTCGGAGAATAATTAATAAATAATTAACGAGGCAGAAAATCCTAACCATTGTGATATGGGAATGTAAGGGAAGGTCCAGTCTATGATTGCAAATTACAAATGTTCATAAATGATGCGTGGTAGTTGAGTTATTAATGAAACTGATGTCTTCACGATCGACGTTTCGCATTTAGTTCCTAGCTTCCACCGCTAAATGGCGCCACTTAAATTCATATTCTGGAGACCTCCTCGGTCCTGATGCTTCGCGCGTACGCACCAGGGACTGATGAGATGCTTTTTCCAAGTTGGTGGCGCGAGTGCGACTATCTCTGTCCTTGTCGCACACTATCTCTGTCCTTGTCTTACACATTACAGGTATAGGGAAAAAGCTTTGAAAATACCCGTCCGCTAGATGGCGTTAGGTCGTCGCAAAATTTTCTATCCTTCTCACACACACGCTCTTTCCTTGTTTTACTCATTATAAGGATAGGGAAACGGTCGGTTTTCGAAGGTAGAAATTGACAGTGGTTTTTCTGCCGCTGTCACGCGCACGTGATATCGGTCTGCAGCGTATTGCCGGCGTCACGCGTATGTGATATTAGTTTATTCGTTTCATTATGAATAATTGGATTAGTGCGGTGTTTTTGTATATCAAGCATGAATCTAACCGAATGATTTCTGTGAGTCTATTAATTATCGTGTTGTCGTAATTGTTCGTTGTCAGTTTCCACGAGAAGCGGTGATAGATCAATATTCATATGCTACTATGATATCTTAGATAAGTATAATATAATATTTAGATTTCGACGGATTATAGGTTCTGATAGATAAAGGAAAAATAGATTTCCAATAGATCGTGGGTGATTACGCAATAAGGTTATTTTATTAATTAATCTCGTTACAGGTTGTTCTGTTTGTTGTGTTACTTTATATTAGCTTTTGCTTATCATTGTACGAATTGTTCAGACAGTAGTATACAAGTGCCTGCGCTTTATTTATTCTACTTAGTTGACAATGATATTTAAGAATGGTTTCTTGAAAGTTTCAATGATCTCGCGTAGGAGCAAATTGATTTCGAAGTATGCTTTAAATATCTTTAAATGTTCCTATAGTCAAGAAAAGTCGCAGAAAAATGTTACATTTCTCAAGGAACAATTGGACGAAGTTTTTAAGTTTAAAAGTAGCAACGTCAGTAATTGGATTATTGAGGTTAGTTTTAATCAGGGCCTGCACGTTTAACTATAATTTGTGAGTATGTAAAATATGTTTCTGTTACTTAATTTAAGAAAATTATTGGATTATTGTAGAATACAGCCCGTAGTCTGTGTACCGGATACTACGAGAGCAATAAGGATGACAGGCAACAACTTTTACACATGTTGGCGTCTAAATATGCTGTTCAACACAATGATGTATATAACATAGCAAGGAAATTGATCGATACAAAGGTTCGTTAATTGTTTCATTCTTCAGGAATATCCAAAGTGAGTTTTCTGTTTTGCATAATGTATAATGTCATTATTTTTCAAAATAAATGTTTTTGTTTAAGCTTGAAGAGGAAAGACGAATACTTACTTATGAAAGAAACTTAAAAAATATTCTTGTACCAGATTATCAATGGCTCTTTCTTGTCATTGGGAGGCTTGAAAGCGGTGTAAAATTTCTTGTTGATTTAAGGACAGACATTTTAGTGAGTTATTTAGAATGATAAGTAATAGAACCAATTTAATTTTATAATTTTATCAGTATCATGCTGAAATCGATAGGTAATACAATTGTGATTTAATCAGCTTTTAATTTTACTTAATTACCAAGTATTCTTAATTTCTGTAAGTTGCAAATTTTTCTCATAGGAGTTGATGTCGGAAACCAAAGATACAGATGAAAATATTAAAGTACAACAGTTAAATATCTCGCTACGTGATTTATTATTATTATGGTTTTCAGTCGGTTTTTTGCACGTAGAGAGAGTAACATGGCAAAGCGGGTGCGATATATTACAGAAGGTAAACAATTTTGTTAAATAACCAGCTAATAATATTAATAGCAATTTCATATACCTCCTCTTTTATTAAGGTTTCAGATTATGAAGCGATACATCCCATTAGAAATTGGTTAGATTTGAAACAAAGGGTTGGACCTTATAGAAGATGTTACATATTCACACATCCGTCTATGCCAAGAGAACCTCTTGTTGTACTACATACAGCGTTATGCGATATAATACCTGGTATAAAGTTGTTTCAAATAAAGTCTCTAAAACACATTTTTCAATACATGTCAATATGTCATTTGTTTATAGGTTCTGTAAAAGGTATTGAAGAAGCAAAAGCCAGAATCATTGGTTCAATGAAAAAGGATATCACGTTCCTAGATGAAGATAAATGTAAAATAACAGCAGCAATATTTTATTCAATTGCTTCTACGCAAAAAGGATTGCAAGTAAATAAATCACGACCATCTAAAAGTTTAAAGCCTAATATTTTCAAAGGAAAAAATATTTTTTTTATAGGGTATTGAACTAGGTAATTACCTAATAAAAGAAGTAGCCAGCGAAATAATATCCGAATTTCCTATGATACGTGAATTATCGACTTTATCGCCGATACCCAGTTTCAGAAATTGGCTACTCGAAAGAATAAGGCAGGGTAATTGCAATAAACTTTTAGTCTTATCTGTATCTTATATTTTTACTTATCAAATAACAATCAAATTGTTCAAACGATTTCTTTTATACTAGATATTATTTTTCAGATATAAATTGTATTTTTACGAATGAAGAACTGAGATCTATACAAAACGTTTTAAAAGAAAATGATCTAGCATTAAGATTAAATAAAACGTTCAGTAACTCGTCGTGGACTAATGATAAAGAATTATCTGATGCATTAGAAAAGCCACTGATTCGAGCATGTGCTTGGTATTTATACAAGGAAAAACGTCGGAATTATGCCTTAAATAAAGTTGGTACGTTGATTCTCATTGTAACATTTATGTAATAATATCAAATTAATATTTTATCTATACTAACTACAGCCAATTTCCATTTACGTAACGGAGCTGTTATGTGGAGAATAAATTGGTTAGCTGATCCTTCGCCACGTGGTGTAGCGAATAGTTGTGGTATCATGGTCAATTATAGGTAACAGAATCTTGGATATAAAATATTTAAATTATTATACTCTATACATTTCGTTCCTTAAAATTTACATTTTCTCGACAGGTATTACCTAAATGAGACCGAAACGAATAGTAGAAATTATATTGAAAATTATTTCATAAATGCTTCTACAAGCGTAATTGATCTCGCGATAGAACAAGAAAAATTATGTAATACATATTCAAATTAAGACAAAAATAATGATTTTATATATATATATATATATATATATATATATAAGGGGGCACAATATAAGAACCATTATATTAAACAACATTCCAATTTAACATTTTGAAGTGGTGTCGAACCGAGTATTTGCTGCAAGTCTCAATATGAAACACAATTAAACTATCAAAATCTAATAAGGATCTAATAAAAAAAAGAGATCATCGTTATATATGTATCGATTAGAAGTTACAAAATATTAAAAAATTTCAAATGAAAATTATATAAATATGCCACTTATAAAAATATGAAATTTTCAGTTATTAATTGGCAAAATTTCATTTAGTCTTCCAACGTTTACTACTTTTTATGTACATTACAAAGATAGTAGACATCTTTAATAAGAATCTGAATATTTCAGATCTATGTTTATCTTATATCAAAATTATATATACACAGACAGACCCTACTTTATATTACTACCGTCTACATACATCAGGCCTATTTCCATTTCTATTGTAATCACAAGCAGTTAATTCAAGATTCCTTTCTATTACTCTTGAAATTTTATGTTTTTATTAAAGATTATTACATTTGTTCATTTATACAATAGCTGTTTCCTGTCCAGCTTAAAGACAACACAATGGTCTGCAAGCAGATCTGAAACAAATATTTACGTTGTATTATTCTTGGATTACATAAATATCTTTTACTTATACACGTCGAGTGATATTGTATTTTTATTTTTATTTTTTTTGGCACCTGTAGTCAAGGCTGGGTTTGATGAAAGTTCGTGGGAAGATGAGGTCTACTTTCTAGTTTTGTATAATCCAAACGAAATTCCTTTGCTACTTTTCTCCAACTTTGCGCATCAAAATAATAATAAGTACCACGTTCATAGGTTGACGTTTTTTCTACATGTCCCAACCCCGGTGCTTGGGTTATCCATACCTTTTCTTCCATATGATATCTCCACTCTCTACTGTACCTGTATCAATGAATCGAACAACGTATTTAATAAGTGGGATTTCATTAACGAGATACTAAAATGTGTTCTCTGGTAACGAATATATTTACTTACAACTCTGCTGCTGCTGCTAACTGCAGAACATCCCCAACATTTGTATAAAACATATAAAATAGTAGATCTTCCTTATATCGATTTAATTTAACTGGTGCTAGTTTATCTCTAGAATCGAAAATAATGCGCAAAGTAAGTTACACTTAACTATCATGGACGGATCTCCTGCGTGAGTGAAACAAAATAATTTGCAGCAAGAAGAAAATACCTGATTGCAGCATTAATAAGATATTCTGGCGGCACGTGAAAATCAATATCCTGAGGCCGGCACGGAGTTTCAGCCCAAGGACCACCAAAGTTTTGGTAAAGATTTTCTGGCGAATTAAGATTTAATCCTAACGCGGTTAGATCTTGGCCTAATGCCAAAGACACTAAATTCGGATCTGTTTCAGCTGCCCTAATAAATGTTAAAAGTCCAATCATTCCAAACTGATCTTTTACCATACTAGCTGGTATATTGGTTACTTTTCCTATAAAATATAAAAATGAATGTTGATGTAAAGTATACAAAAAAATGGCAAAATTTATTTAAATAAAAATATGTTATAAAAAGAAAACAAGTGGTAATTAGTATGCTTATTACATTAAATAAATAGCTTCAGTACCATCAGGTGATGTTTGTATGCCTCTTTTAGACGATTGGGACATATCAGATCCATGTGCTCTATTCGCTTGCAATACGTCTTGTCCAATTTCAGGACCAAGTCCAACAGGTACATTTTTGTCCCCAGATACACTCCCACCTGGCGATGGTCCTTCTCTATTTTGTGTTCCTGGCAATGCTGGGAAATCTTCAGAACTCATAGTAAATTCACTCGATTCAGATGTTGGTTGTTTTACCATTCCAACTACAATTCATATAAATACTTATATAGCAATAAGTATTTATCGTATAATATAATTGTATCTATCTTTTCAATTAAAATCTTTCAAATTTCAATTTCAATTTCAATTGAAAATGGTACTCGAAGACATAAAATTTCTATAGTGCTCGAGAAGAGACGGTAATTTTATAGATATTTAATACACAAATATGATACGATAAACTCTGAATGTGATACATACCATAAGGTTGTTTGCCAGGCATAGGACTAGGTTGCGGCATAGAATCACCCTGTCCTCTGTTTGTTAATGAAGGAAACTCAGACAGATCCAACAATGGAGGAGTACTTGTATCTCCACCTCCTCCACTGCCAAAAACAGAGTGAAAATTATTAATTTGTCCTTGAGATCCGTAATTACGACTTTGTGGTATTCCAAAAGTGCCCATGCTACCCATTGGATTCGAGGTTCTATAAATTTGCATAAACTTTTCATTTTTTTCATATGAACTATATATTAAGGATACTAAGAATAATAACATTAAGGATATACGATTAATATATATTAGGTAGTTTTATTAATTAAGATTAGAGACTAACCCAAGAGTAGGCATCGTACGTCTATCTGTAAAAGCTCTCTGTCCAAACAGTCCTCTACTGCCCATAGGAGAGAGCTGTTGTTGTTGAGGTTGATGATTATTTTGTCCACCTCCAGCTCCTGAGGCTCCAATATAAACGCTAGTAACTACTACCGCAGACGTGATCGAGCTTGAAGTGCTTGTAGATGAGCCTGAGAACATGCCCGAGGTAGGTGTGACATGACCTGTCAGGGTTGACGAATTTAAGCCCCCCCCACCACCCGTACGCGATGTAAGGCTTGCGTTCGCACTACTGCGTGGAGGCTGCTCAAAGTTCAGGTTGGCCATAGCCTGGTGGCTCCACTAAAAAGTACCTTCTGGGGCACACCGACACACTTTTATGTCAATTACCACACAATCACTTGTTTTCTATCGCATCACTTGTAAGTTGTTCAATTTTACGGAACTGAGGAAAATCCATGACAATAACTCCTAGTAGCAACCTGTAACCATCACGCAAAAAACAAAACTTTTGTAACATACGCGATACACTGTTGATTAATTTATTATCTTAAGAACCACAACTTTTTTTCAGTTTATATTTTAATTGTATTCGAATAAAAAATGTTTACCTCTTTATCGCAGCACCAATTCTTTGATCATATCAAAATCGAAGACAGGAAATGATAATGGACCTATTAGCAAAGGAAGATTTCATTTTCATGAAAATGCTATTATATTATTGGTTTAATAGAATGAAAGATTACATTTAACGCATTATAGTATATTATAAAGCATTTTATTTATTTCTCCATGTGTTATATGTAAATAAACAAATGTATACAATGAAATGTATCATACTATTTTAATAAAGAGAAATCCATTTCAACTCCTTACGATTTATAAACTAGTCATTTGTATGGAAGGAAATAGTTTTGTAAAATTATATGGATAATATTTATTTCCTTGTTTAACATTAAACGAAAGAACGTACGTGTGACGATATTAAATAATAGGATACTAATATATCGCATGATATTTCTTAAAAGCTAATGATCTAATGATCTAGAACATACACTTGTTACAGACATACATATTTTCTAAATACTCATAAACTAACCTGAACATTATTCTGGAATGTTTTTATATTTCTACAGAAGTCCACAAACGTGAAACAATACATTGATACGAGATATGAAACTAATTTCAATAAGACCAACTGGTTATTGTAATCATTAATTATCTATGATAATATGGTAATGTAATGGAAATGGTTAATTAAAAACTTTTTTCTGTTATTTTTATTAGTACTTGAAATGTACGATTCAATTTTGACTGTAAAGAAGACTTGGAAATTTGAAAAAAGCATCGAACTGAAAGTCGGTGATTTTGACATTGAACGATAGAAATCAGTAACAAGCACAAAGAAAGCAAAGGTTATAACGTCTACATAATCAAAATATTGAGGGAGAAATGGACCAAATTTGATTACCTATGTTATCGAATCCGTTGTTAAGTTACTGCAT